CAGAACTGGAAGAGCTCAGACAGGTCTCTGGTCCAGTTGTGTCCCCTCCCCTGTTGTCCCTTGCTATAAAAGACCCCAGAAGATGGTGATTTGAGGGAAATGTGCCCCTCCATCTTCTCGGGCCAGCTTTGAATAAATCCTTTTTTCTCTTTACCAAAATAAATGGTCTCTTTGCTTTGGTCAGCAGACAGCAAACAAACCTGAGTATATGACAGTCAGGCCTGGGCCTCCCTAAAACAAACACAAGGCTGACATCACTACACCGAAGTGTGGCAAGTGTGGCAGCTCCCCAAGGGATCTCTTGTGGCCTTTCTACTGCCACCACGGTCCCTAGAGCCCAAAGTTCCCTCCTGATTTCCAGGACACAGTTTCATGGTACCTTTCACACTCAGCTTTTTACTCTAGTCCTTTGAGTGCTGGTTTAATCCCAGAGTCTTTCCTCAGTTCCTCCTAAATCAATAGTCTTTGTGCCCAGTGCTCCATTCCAGGTTGGGCTGGAACTGGTGCTGCTCGCTGGAATGCAGGAGACACTTCCGGGGATCCTGGGTGACACTCACTTGACTTCATTACGTTGCAGTTAAGACATAGGTCACTGCAAAGCTGGCCTGAGTGTTTACTGTCTGCAGGCCCATAACCGAGATCTGTTTACTCTGCCCTGTTTTATCCTCACAACTCTCCGAGCGAGCACAATTACACTCTGTGCCCATATCTGTGGCTCTGCATTTGTGAGCTCAACTAACCGCAAATTGAAAACATTCTGGAAAAAAACTGCATCTGCCCTGAATACATACAGATTTTTTTTTCCTCATTATTCCCTAAGCAATATGGTATAGCAACTACTTTCATGGCATTCATGTTGTGCTAGCATTATAAGTCGTGATATGGGATGATGTGTGTAGTTTACTTGCAAATGCTATGCAATTGTACAGAAAGAAAGGACTCAATTATCTGTGACACTGGTGTCCCTGGGAACGGGGAGTCCTGGATGTATTTCCCCACTAGAAAGGTAAAGGACCCCAAGTCACAGGCTCATGCATCTGAAGGTCTCTGGGGGTCTGACAGGGACTTCATCCTGTACCTGACCTTGTGTGTTCCTTCAGCCTGTGTGGGGGGGTCACAGGAGGTCCTGAAGGATGGAGTAAGGGACCCAGAATTCCTGGATGCTTCTACACTGCAGCAGGTGGAAACTTCAGTGACCCAGAGGCTCACCATGCATAGAGACCAAAGCAGTTAGGAAGGAGATGGGTGTGGCAGGGCTGCGTACACGAGGCCCTATAAAATAAAGATCAGGGTTCCAACACTCACTAAAGAAAGTGGCAGAAGGTCAGACTGCCTGCTCTTTCCATACTGGTTGTTGAAAACATTTGTGAAACAACAGACACACTAATTAAGTAGGTTGCACACATTTACATGGTATATATTTTTAGAGAAAGCAGGTTTCAAGAAGGTGTTGCACTTGTTCTGTGGCAGAACAGACAGCCCAATGAGACTGTGACCTGACTTTGGAAAGGGTCTGGTAGATTATCCTGGCTAAAGATGTGTCTTCAATCCAATGCCAAGTGTCTTTCCAGAGAGAGGGCCCTGGACGCCAGGGGTGTGAGGACAAAGGTAGGGACAGGAGTGATGGTGCCACAAGCCAAGGGACACCTGGAGCCAGCAGCACAGGCAGAGCAGTGAGGTCTCCAGATCCTTCAATGGGGAGGGGCACCTGGATTCAAGGCTGGGGGCTTCCAGAGCTTGGAGTCACTGACTCAGTTCATTAAGGTGGCCCCAGGATACTAATGTGGCCTCAAAGAGTCAAATTCCTAAGGTTTCCTGAGGGCAAATGACCACTCTTTTGCCACAGGGAACTTGGAGAAGACTCTAGGGGACATGGGATCTGGAGGACAAGACAGAAGGGGTTTTCAAGAAAGCCAGGATGACACTGACATCCAGTGAGAGTTGGGAGAAGTGGAAGAAGCCAGTAATTGATGCGGACCCATTGGAGGCAGAGTGAGGGAACAGCAGAGAGCTCTGGAGGCATTCGCCCAGCACCCACCTGCCTGGCTCTTTCACTGACTGGATGAATTTTTTTTTCATCAGTAAAGTGGGATGATGCTACTCTGTGAGCCATGTGCACCAAGAATTTCATCAAGGTTTATCCTAAGTATGGCTGGGAATGATGTAGAGGCTGTGCTGGAGAGGGAAAGGAAGGTACTTGCAGAGAGGTGGTTAAGGATCGACATCACAGGGGTAGAGTGAACCAGGTCAGGGTCATCTGGAGCCCTGTTCTCCCTTCTCTTAGGGGCCTTGGTCAGTGGAAAGGAATTGCTCAAGATGGCAATGAGATTTTCCCCAGAAGCTGAGGTGGCCTCTAGGCCAAGTCAGAGGTGGGGAGGAAGAGCTGGTTTGGGAAGGAATCAGTTTCATTTTGAACAAAGTGACCTAGGAGACACCCTGAATTTCCCACAGGGAGAGCAGACAGGTTGGGGCTCGCTAGGGGACAGCTGCAGTCCTGGGAATGAATCAGAGCAAGCCTGAGCCAGGAGCACACAAAAGATGAACCATTCTTGAAACAAAAACAAACAACAACAACAACAGAAAAAAAACCCAAAGTGCACATCAGAATAAAAACAAAGAGGCACATCTGGTTTGGGAATATTATTGCCAGAGACTTGGAAGACAGCTCACCCACTACAAGGAGGCAGAGATGGGCAGGTCAAAAATGTAAGGGCATCCGAATGAAAGGACTCTGGTAAATGAAAAGATGGTAGAGTGTTAGGGCTTAGCAGAAGAAAATTGGGTATAATAGGGACTGAGAACTGCCGGCTGAGTTTTAGGATGTCATTGGCAACTGTAATGAGAATCAGAACAGGAAGAGAAGTGTGAGAACTATGACCCAAAGGAAGTTTACAAAGCACAGATGTAAAAAACTGGGTCAAAGAAGTCACACATTTGTTTTGTGTGTGCGTGTGTGTGTGTGTGTGTGTGTGTGTGTGTGTGGTATTGGGATCAAACTAAGGGCCTTTGAACTGAGCTACACCTCCAGCCCTTTTTATTTTTAATGTTGGGATGGGTCTCACTAAGTCAGCCTCCTGCCTCAGCCTCCCACAGTGCTGAGATCACAGGCTTACACCACCATGCTCAACTTGTTATACTTCTTTTGAATAAAATAATTTAAAATGGGGCCAGACTATAGATTAGGATCCTGTTTCCTTATTCTAAAGGTAGATATTATGAAGACAGGGTTTACACAAATGGATGAATGGAGGTAGCTTCTTTCCTAAGGTCAAAGCAGAGAAGGAGGTGGACACACAGTTCTTCAACCTGCCCCTTCTGTCTCCTTCCACTTGCTGAGCCAGGCAGGGCCCCCTTTTTCCTGATGGTGCCAGTTACTTCACATAGGAAATGGGCAAACAGCATTTCCTCATTTGATAAATCATAGGAAGGTTGAAACCACCTGTTCAAGGTCACACGGTTCAGGGAACCCCTAGTCCAACGCTTCACAGTGTGACTACAAAGCACACTTGGCTATCCAAGACTTCTTCGAGAAGGAGGCAGGGAAGAGTAATCCAATAAGGCTCCCTTGTTTTCTCGGGTGAATTAGTCCTGCCTTAATAAAAGGGGAAGCCAGGAGCCTAAGATGAATCTCTTTAACAGGGACACAGGCAACCCCACCAGGAAATCAGAATCATGTGAATATTCGGATTTCCCCTGGGAAACCGCAGGGGAAGGGAGTGAGGAAGAAACATCTGGATTTCTGTCCCTCTGAAAGGGAAAGGCATTTGTCTCCCTCCTCCGGGGGTGGGGGGCTTGGTCTTCTCAGTTAGTTCACAGGTTTGGTTTTTGCAGGCTGCATGCACCCAGGGGTCCCATGCATCCCCAGGACTCCGCGACTCCGCGTCCTCTCAGTCCCAGGGGTGCACAGAACCCCCGTCCCCACCCATAAGGCCCAGGAGCTCCCCGCGCCGCTCCTGGGAACAGCCTAGGTCAGGCCGGGAGGAGTCTAAACGTGTCTGGTTGGGAAAGTAAATAGATGGCGAGGAAACACATAAAGATGCCCACAGCAGGCCCGGGAAGGAAGTGACATTTCTATGTCAGCCACTTTCCCGACCGACGCAAGGCCCGGGCCGCCGAGGGTGCCGTGGGAAAGCTTCCGGGCGGGGACAGTCGCCCACAGCCCAAGCATCGCGATCCAAGCAAGCAGTGGGGACACAAAGAAGATGCGCGGGATCCGGCGCTTAGCCCGAGGTAGCCGCCGCGCCTCCTCCCGGGTCCCCGCCCTGGTCTCCACCCGGGTCCACACGCTCAG